TCTTGAGCTCGGACATCCATCGGCAAGAACAGGGATGGCACAGGACGCTTGAGGCTAGGGACGGCAAAGCCTCAACGACGGGATGGTCGACAGGGTCAGGGTGCGAGGGTCCCTTGAAGGTCGAAACGGTCTCGCAATGCAGATAGACGCACTCTGTTTGTCCCTAAAGGATTAGTAGCAATGAACTGGACGTACATAGGATACTCAATGCATGAGCAAGAAAATGCCTCGTCTTGTTGACGAACATGGCGAACTCCTCCATCTTTGCTGCAACAGGTTTGGGCCAGCTTGTTGGGATGGAACTCATGCATGCTGCAATGCGCAATAGGATATAGGTACCACGAGATTGCGGAGACATCCACTAAAAACGGGCCTTGGCTTCTCTTCTGTGCTCAGCTTGCAGCAGCAGCAACCAAATTGCTTTTGCTGGAGGCAGCGCCCGATCGTTGATGATTTGCTGTCTCGGTGAAAGTTGTGAGTAATGAGAGAACTAGATGGATGCAGATGAAGGAGGTGCGCACAGCAGAGGCCTCGAATGGTCATGGAAGGCTCTAGTCAGGTCGCAAGTACCTACCTCAGCTAACGTATGCACTACGCCCCGTTGGCCAGCTTAACTACTGCCAGTACCTGGTTACCTACCTACAGTACCTAGGTAGTTGCCTCGGCGTGTAGGAGGGGAGGTCCCGGTTGCCGAATGAGGCAACTTGGGATCTTGCCTCTGGCAGGTGTGATCGACACAAATCGGCAGGCACCGGGTATTTTGCAAGCCAAGTTTTTCAACCTCAACTCATAGGTTCACGTTATCTTCTCTCCTGCATCATCACCAAGTAGGAAAACCAACAATGGACAGGTTGGTTCAGCAATGATTTCGGCTTGGCCGGGCCGACACGATTTTCGCCCCTTCTTCGAAACCCTTGAATCGACTTTGCCGTTCGCTCATCGCGCAGCCTCTATCACCATGCGCTTAGCTGCAGGTCACTATCGGCCGGAGGCGTCGCCATCGACAAGGAGAGAGCACCCTTCCCAGGCACACCCATGACACCAGCACCAGGGCCTGGGTCCCTGCACTTCAGGGCTTGATGCGATAATGCGACAGTTGTGAGATAGCTGCAGCAGGTTCAACGTCCAGACTCGCTGTGGTTATTCGAAACAAAGAAACGTCTTTGGTTCCTTAGGGGGACGAGACCCAGATTCTGCAGCAAATTCCACTTCATTTCTTCGCCTCCAGAACGCCTTCATTTTTTCTCTCTCCCCAGTTGTTATCTCTCCTCCACTCTCTCACGTCTCATTCTCGGACTAGTACGGAGTATTCGTTCGAAGATGGTGATATGACGCACGCCCGCAGTTTTGCTGGATACCTTACGGACAAAAACACCGTTTTCATTGAGGTGCGCCCGAGGGCTGAGACGGCGGGCGGAGGTGCGGCGGCGGCTTACCATCGGTCGGTCATCGTCCATCATCCATTGTTCGGAGGTTCGCGCTTGGCCTTGCTCAAGCCGCAGTAGCCGCCGGGCCGGACCATTATGCCACTGATCCTTGACAGAACTCTACGTATTCTCGCTTAGACTGCCACCTTAAGCTTGTTTCCATCAACCTCTGACGATACTCGAGAACGTGGCATCCGTTGGCATTGCGGCACGGCTCAATGTCACAAACAGCCGCTGCAAGATGGCACGACGGTCTCCTCTTCTTGTCGGCGGGCTTTGCATCATGGCTCGTTGTCTCCCCTCATCCAGAGTTGAGCCTGGCAGGCTGCGCTAACTCGAGAATATAGTAGCCCCAAATATGTACATTTGTACCTCTTGTACTATGCAAGTACCTCACCGGCCGGGCCGGGCTAAAGGGTGGGTAGCTCGATAGTCTAGGGCGTGTCTCTAGACCAGCTCGTCCGAGCGTGCATTCTGCAGGCCATGCATGCAGCACGCCGTCTCTCTCCACCGGCCACGCAAAGTTGTCGTGCTGGGGGTGTTCGTGTCGGTAGCGGAGATGCGACAAGACTTGTGGGGGAGGGGACTTTGGCGGACGGACTTGCTCGAGCAGCGCCGGCCTCGTGCTTGAGGCCTTCTTCCAAGGAACTCGTGCGCCCAACTTGAGAGTTGTCCGAGTAGTGTCAATTGAAGACATGTGAAGATTTCAGTAATCCGGATACAAACAACATGACTCTCCGATCGGTGATCTCATCCAGGACTTCTCCCACAGCCCAGTAGATAACAACTTATTCCCTTTGTCCAAAAAGGATGTGGTGCATGTCCAAGGCAACTGTTCATCTCCCCGTGCCTCGGCCTGGATTATCCCGAGCTTGAATTTCATGGCGTTGACTCATGGCAAGGATGAAAGAGCACATATTCAAAGTCGTCGCTAAACGAAACTCACAGATAGCTGTTGTCGATTGGTTTGTTATTTATCCAGGCCACCACTTTGTGCCGGTATCCTGCATCTAGTAGAATGCGTATAGTTTGAGAATATTGGTTCTCCATGAATCTCATTCGCTGGATATGCTGAGGCTTTGGTGTCCGAGGCATGGTATTCATGACCGTCGACTGTATCCCTCGGAGGCACGCCGCATTAACAAATACAGATTTTGATGATGCATAGCTACTTTGCAGTAATGAAGCGATAAGTCAACAAAGGCGAGCATAGTTGTGGGATGTCCATACTCATCCGTATGCTCACGGGTAGTTGTTGAAGTGATAGGTTTACAATACAGTGGATTGACCCAGAAGACTATCATGTGTATGTAATAATCGCAAATTAATATGCCCCGGTCGTCTCACCAGTTTTGTAACAGTCTCCAGAATTACAAGACATAAAGAAGAAAGAAACCCCTGTTTTCGGCCTTCGTCATTCTAATGTTGCCGCCAGTAAGCCCATAAAAACCTCCACAGTATGCCCTACGTCCTATGAATGCTGCTGTCATTAGACCTTGCCCCCCAGGTAAAGAATGTTTTGTCGAATCGGCTCTGTAAGAGCAACACGTCCTGTGTAGATGTATGCGACGGTGTCTTCCCAAGCTCGAGGATGTGGTAACGGGAGCTCAATGGTGTCCCCCGGTCGAACAATTTCGGAGAGAATGATGGCGGCAAGTACAGGGAGATATGTTCGGGCGTATTCGAGGTCTATGGTAGTAACATGTGTTAGATATTGATCACTTGGTGTTCTTGGTTGATACTCCAAGTTGCTCCGGTTAGTGGTGTAGGGTAACTCACGAATGGCAACCGACGATAATCCTTGCCGAGAACTTCTTCTATCTGTGGCTGGTGAGCGCTGGGGGCTAAGGGCAGGAAGAGCGCCATGGGAGTGGCGTCTTTCGGTGATGAGACCTGGTGAGGATGGTCGGTTTGAGGTAGAGGGTGGTTGGAGAGTCGCGACTGAAGCTCTTCGGCCCTGGTCAGCTCGATCAACTGGGCTCACTCGCGGAAGCGTAGCTCGCAACTCGTCCAAATCAAACGTCCTCGTCAAAACCAGTGGCTTTCTTCCACGAGAATGAACAACCACACGCGTGGTCAGTTGTCCATCTACCGGACAGGGAGAGGGGGGCTCTGCACTGGTAATGGTGGAGAGGCGGCGTAGTTCAATCGGCATCACCAACAACTCGGCCTCGCGCGGTCTATACGAACCGACAAAACCTCGTCGACGGAGATGCTCTCGTTGCCGGGCGATCTGCATAGCTCTTGCGTGGAGAACACCTGATGGCGCGGATTGTCTGCGATCATATGCCTGCGAGAGATGGCCGTCTTGTTCACCATCCTGCCCTTGAAGCAACATGTGTCTCGTCTCTTCCACGATGGTTGGTCTGCGATAGACTGGCGGCGCGAATAGGGGTGCAGACAGAGGAGAACGACGAGCTGGCAGAGTATTGGGACTTGGCAGGGTGAGCTCTGCGATGGGTCTCAGAGAGACGTTGCGAAGGCTCGGCTCCAGCTTGGAGGAGTCACGACTTCGCGGTTCAAGTCGGTCAACGGCCATCTTGTCATGCTGCCGCATCTGCTCATCCCTCAGCTCCTGGCACCCAGGCAGAGGGAGACTGCGAGGCGAGAGAGGTGAGGCGGACCAGGCTGGACTCTTGAGGGCCATGCGTGCTCGGAATGACCGGATGTTCAGTTCAGGACCCGTGGTTCGTATAGGCTCAATGGCAGGACGAGCCCTGGCCTCTGTTGCTGTAGTCGTCATGACTATGTCGTCAAGGTTGGTTTAGGTCACACACGATATGCTTGCTTGTCTGGACCGAAAGCTCTGAAGATAATGGATAGACGAGATGTAAAAGGCTAGTTGCTTGATCTTTATGCTAGAGTAGAGGAAGAATGGGGAGGATGGATGGAGATATCAGGAGGCAGACTCCTTTCTTCGCGGACTGCAGCCATTTTATTTCACTGGAATTTGATGGCGTTGGCTCTCAAAGGGAAAAAGAAGAAAAAAACCCTGACGGATGCACACCTCCCAACAACCTCCAAGCTCGGTAGGCGGCTCGTCACAAAGGAGGGAGTAAGCCCCTCTGGGCGCTGGGCGGGATTGCTTTCACGAGTAGGAAGCGCGTGTTTGCCACTGTGAAGAGAACAAAGAAATGCGGCTTGCTCTAGGTGCCGAGACGCCTGCGTCCGCTGCGACGAGCCTGCTCCTGGTTGGCCTCAGAGACACGGAGGCCTGAAGGAGGCGTCGAGAAACCGGATCTTGGGCACCCAAACTATTGGGCCGGATCACTTGATTGAGTCGAAGCCTGTGTTTTGGGGAGCTGAACTGAGGTTTTCGATAACTGACATTCTGTGGTTGGCGCTGGGTCCACGTGATAGGTTAGCCGCGTGGGTGGTCGCGTCCTATTGGTCGGGTATAGGAGTTGTAGCCTGGTCCCGGTGACATGGTATCACCAGCGAGGCTGAGCTTCCACTTTGACGACTTTGACAGGTGTCGTCAACGCATTCTTCCCACTCACACTGTTCCTCTCTGCTTGACGTAGCTTGAAACATTAGCATGTATTGAGACCTGACAAGTCACTGCAGCTGGTCATGTCTGATTCCGCCAGCTACAAGCAGCGAAAGGAGGACTTTGTGTCCAACCTCTCAGGCGGCTCCGTCGCAGAGATCAACTATGTCACATCCGTTGCCGCTGTTTGTCCCTCCCCAGTCATTTCCCGCCGTGCGGAAAAGGAACTAAGTTGTTGTTTCAGGTCGCCATAATCCTCTGGTCCGTCCTCCAAGCCCGCCAGTCCTTCTTTGAGCAGTATACCGTCCTCGCATTTGCCGTCGATTTCCTCCTCAATGTCGGCGCCATCCTCCTCTCCACGACGCTATACGCGGGCACACCGGTCCTGCTAAACCTCCTTCTGATCGTGCCCGCCATCCTCATCTTTACGCTCCCGCCGAACTCGATCAACCGAAAGAAGAAGCTTAAGGTCCCGCCTAATGCGCGGTCCAAGGGTAGCTCGGGACAGCTCGACGTCCTCTCGACCAAGCCGTTCCTGACAAACTTCCGGGGCTGCATGATGATTGTCACCTGCGTCGCAATCCTGGCTGTCGACTTCCGTTTGTTCCCCAGGCGGTTTGCCAAAGTTGAGACGTGGGGCACATCCCTGATGGATCTGGGTGTTGGATCCTTTGTCTTCTCAGGAGGTCTCGTCGCAGCTCGTCCCGTGCTGCGGGAGAAAGCTGTAGGCCGCACTACAGGACGGGCGACGCCCCTGATTCATCGGATCATTCACTCGATGCGCCATTCTATCCCGCTATTGGTTCTGGGTGTGATCCGACTGCTCAGCGTCAAGGGCCTGGACTACGCCGAACATGTCACAGAGTATGGTGTGCACTGGAACTTCTTCTTCACGCTTGGTTTCCTGCCTCCATTTGTTGCCATCTTCCAAGCAGCCCTCAGATGGATCCCTTCTTTTGCAGCCTTGTCGCTGCTGGTCGGTATCAGTTATCAGGTTTTGCTTGAGACTACCAACCTGAAAGCCTACGTTCTCACCGCGCCAAGGACAGACCTGATTTCCATGAACCGAGAGGGAATCTTTAGTTTCATTGGATATCTTGCCATCTTCCTTGCCGGCCAGGATACGGGCATGTTTGTCATCCCCCGAAACATCCCTCCAAGGAGCACCGCCAGCCCAGGAGCTCAGAGGAACACACTCCTAATGACCATGGTTGTCTGGGGAGGTGTCTGGACAGGACTCTACTTGCTTTCCACAAACTACCATTACGGATTTGGCCTAACGGTTTCACGACGTCTAGCGAACCTTCCCTACGTCCTTTGGGTTGTTGCGTTCAACACTCTGCAACTTGCTGGGTTCGCCATTGTCGACACTGCTTTCTTCCCTGCGTTCTATAATGCGCAAGATGCCAAGACCGAGAAGGAGGCTTATGAAAAGGCCACTAGCCGTGTGATACGAGCCTATAACCGCAACGGTCTGGCTGTTTTCTTGGTGGCTAACCTCCTGACTGGCTTGGTCAACATGACTGTCAAGACGCTGGATGCTAGTCCGGCTGCAACAATTGGCATTTTGGTGGCGTACATGTCAACTATCACTGGCGTTGCTTTAGCATTGGACGCCTACAACATCAATATCAAGCTTTGAGTATAGCATAGAGGTGGCGCATTGGTTTAATTCGCCGCTAAAGGGAACTACGGGCGGCATATCAATGAGAGTTCGACACCAAGTAACCTCATCTACCGATTCGGCGTATAAGTTGGATAGCGGAAGCGGCTCTAATGTAATGGAAGTGCCGAAGTCGACAACGCATGAACTTGGTGCGAAGCATACATACATGCTCGCATTAGGCCAATCTCGACCAGAAAAGCAAAACACGATTACAAGTTATGTGCTGCATCTACTGAGTGAGTTCACCGGGGCTTGTGCAGGTGCCCCTGTCGTGGATGTGCGCTCGTCCGGCAGAGGACGGAGATCAGGCGCGGACCATCCACCGCGGAGATTCGGCAGATGAGGGTGAGCTCGATAATGAGCTCTGGACGCAGGAGACGGGAGTCAGCTCTCATTGCGGGCGTGTTATCAAGTGACACATCAATCGTGGGTGGGGATGCTAGAGAAGGGCTACGATCAGGGGTCAGTTGAGCCCTGGAGAGGAACGGTTGATGCCATGCAACGCAATCGCGGAACATCCGTAACGCGAGTGAGATCCAAGATGCAAGCAAGAGTGAATCGATCATGGAGAGGTCTCATTGGTTGTCGGTATGACTTCAGGTCCATCATCCGGCCGGGATAGACGTGTCGCGTTTCAATGCAGCTGGATTATGAGGGCTATGACATGAACAAATCCAACCTGAGCGAGCATGTATGTAAGTGAGAGGCGCAGCTGAGAAGTCACAATCCTGAGTGAAAAGTAAAAAAAACAACAAAAAACAACGATGGCTTCTGGTGAGACGGGCGAAGTCGGGTTCTTAAGTGAGATATCCATCGTGTCAGCTCAACCCACGGCCACGTTTCAACGGGGGCGGCTCAGTTTGGTGATGAGTCTGTGATGGCCGGCTTCGCGGCCGGTGGACGTGAGAATGGAGCCCCTTGGCGTCCGTCCGGTAGAGGGGACGCGCGCCGGTGAGGCTTGAGATGGCCTTGACAGGCCGGTCGCTCGCTCGGCGGTGGTTATGGTTGTGCTTGTTTCTTAGAGACGGCGACGCCGGGAGATGACGTCTGAAACGACTGGGCAAGTTTACGGGTCAACCCTGCCAGGCTCAAAGGCCCGCGGACGATCCCTGTTTCGTTGAAATGCAGCTCATCTCCGGCGTTTAATGCTGGCTGGCTGGCTGCGCGCATCGTCTTGGTGCAACGACCACGACGCGTAGAGCGGCCACGACACGCGCAGGATCTTGGAAAGTCTTGCATGAGGACACGATTGCGTACGTTGTGCCTTGGATGTTGTCTGCACACCACTTCTAGGTCATCAACACAGCGTCATATTCCATCTTGATGTTGCACAAGGTGTCCGTGGGGCTGCCGCTATAAGTGTGGGAGAATCGGAGATGGAAATTAGGGTGTTTCAGAAGTCTCTGGAAAAAGAGGGACAGCCCTGTCTCGGGATGGATGGCTAGAAGCCAGGGCAGGCATAAGGAAGAGACATTTGTATTGAGAGTAAATGAGTTTCTTGGAGTTGAAAGTCGTGACGACTACAATAGCTGTCTGTATACGGATAGTTGCCGTATACGCAAACTTCAAGGCTGCTGGTCTGGGGTAATAAACAAGCGACTCCGAACCCTGTCGATGAAAGACCTTCATGTAAGAGGCGCATACTGCTGATCCTGGACCTAAGCAAGGGAGGCCGGGCATTTAACCATTTGAGGCAGCAGAGTAACTCGCTCACCAGAGGTTGGGCATGCTGCAGCGAGATGGAGGTCGGTTTAGCGATGAAGATCACTGAACTTCTTGAGTGACATGGCACATGAGGGTTGGTCTGGTCTGCCACGTCTCTTTCCAGGAAAAGCAATCGTGGTAATTACACATGCACGAATGCAGGATCCGTCAATGGCTCACTGTAGCTGCCAGCTTCTCCAACGAGCAAAGCGGCATCGAGGCTGTCCCCTCCATGTAGGGATGAGGTTGTCGTGCTTAACCCTGAACCCTGGCTCTCAACTCACATCTCGGCCAGAGGAAACAAGGTTCCAATGCAACCTGGAATATGTAGAGGAAGCCAAACGATGATGGTGTCGATCTGACAGGAGGGACAAGCATCACATCACTTTGTCTTGGGTCACGGGGCTTCTTGGTGAAGAAACTGATCTCTTTTCTTTCCTTTCTTTGGAATGGTTCGATGGACCATCAACGACGAGCGAATCTGGCCACAGGAGAGAATCATGCCAGTTACCGGCGCTTGTGCACGCGCACGCTCCAAGGCCCCGTTCGTTTGCTTCATTGCTTCTTCTACCCGAGCTTCTCGAAAGAAGTGGGAACCACCACGGCCGGCTGCATGCTTTCTCTCTCTCGCCTCTCATCTTGAAGCTCGAGGGTTCGCCCGGCCGCGGAAACGGAGAGAGATTGCCCGAGAAACCCCTCGTGAACCCGAGGGTCGGATACCAAGAGGACGGCCGGGCCTCTTAGGCGAGACGGGACGGGAGACGCGCTCGCTGTTTCTTGGTCCCGTATAATGGAATTGGAGATCATCAAAGATGGTGTAGAGGGCGATAATTGAGGGTAATAATAGGCGCGGGCTGGGCTATATCAGAGAAACGGCGCGACGTTACACGTCAGGTCAGACGCGCTCAGCAACCTCGAGGGCTTCAATGTCCTCCCTCCTTTCCCTTGAGCACAGGGCATCTCTACCCTTTACGGTGTGACCGAGCATTTGGATGGATCTTTTATCCCGCGCCGTGTGCTGCAAGCTTTACCGTGTTGTTTTGTGTTGTGTTGATGGACGGAGCGGAGGCCAGAGCGCAAGGTCAAGAGAGAGCTGAGACCACCACCGTGTGAGCACCCGCCGAGCCACCCCTTCGAGAAGCCCACTTCTAAGATTACTGGTCAATGCCTGCCCGACGACTGTTGTTTTGACATTGGATACCAGGCTGGTGCTTCTAGCCGTGTTAGCGCGGCTGTCTTCTCCCTCAGAGAGGCGGCGTAATATCCAAGCCCTTGATAGCCTAGGAGGCATTCGTGACACAATATCGAGTGGCCATTGAGTTCAAGGCGTCTCCCGACGTATTAATAGGCCCAAGACCAATTCCAGAGACATGGGACCAACAATGGAGGATGAATGACGGAAGACTAGCTCCAGACATATCAACTAGCTTCGCCTCCAATACATATCTCGAAATTGCGGAGAACCACCCGAATCCAAGTCCAGGGAGGACCGACGAGATGGTGCGAGCACTGGCCGACCGACGCAGGCAGGCATTGATTATTGGCCTAGGGCGACTCGCTCGGTGACGGAGGTTGGGAGCATGATATCCAATCTTTGAACTGACGAGGTATGTATTTGGCACGGGGGCATTGAGTTTGGCGCGCCGGGCGATGAATGAATGGCATTGCATGGGGTAATTTCCAGTAGAGGCCCGATCACCTTGGCCCATCATGACGGCTATTGTCATCGTCGTCATTCACAACAACATCTAATGCATCCATTGACAATGCGTCGAGTGCAATGTGTCTGCCCGGGGACGTGCTGAATGAACTGAATCATCCATGGGTTTTCTGAGAGAGTGTGTGTCTCGGACCTCGACTCGGACCCTCCGATCTGCATTGTCTAGGTACACAAACCCGTTGAGAGTCTTGCACAAACAGCATCTTGGCTGTGTCTGTCTGATGGATCCATCCATCCATCCATCGCGAGAGGGATGGATGACCTTACAGGCCATTTCGGGCGCCCCCGGTACACTGTACCTGCAGGAACGACAGCTTCCAGGTACCCGCCGGAGCAGGGCGCTAGATTCAGGGGTAGCGGTACCTGAGCCAGAGAGAGAGCGGCAACCAGAACGGGACCCCTTCCTCATCCATCATCGCCCTCCCACTCCTTGCATCGTGATCCATGAAGGGCAGGTTGACCGATGGAAAGATTGTCACCCGCTAGCAGAGGACCCCGAAAAAGAAAGAGAAGAGAAGGTCACTTGGAGGCGCGCCTCCGAGTCAAGGGCCGTTGCTGAGTGGATATCCATTCGAGGTACCCGCCCGCTGTATGTACTGTAGCGATGGATGGAGCCAGGACGCCGGCGGATGGGGCTCCACAACTGCAGCCCAAGCCGGGTCTCATCTCGTCAATTTCGCGCTGGCGCCCGAGTCTTTGAGTCTGGTCTCAAGGATTGGGATGGGGATGGGGATGTGCTGCGTGCTGCTTTGCTTTGCGCCTGTGCTTGCTTCCATGTCTAGGTTCTGTTGTCCACTGATCCCAGGGCTGTTTCTGCTGCCCTGCGCTTCCAATACCATGTCCCTGAGATCCATTTGTAGACAGTACGTACCTTAGGTCCAGGTCGTAGGTTCAGCTTCCCGTCTCCTTCAATCGGCTGGTTCCATTCCCCTTCGACACCTTCACTCTCCTCCTCCTCCACCACCCTCCACCCTTTGAGCGCGCGCGGCCCCAACTCAAACTCGGATCCTCACCCCATCCGCAGCTGGCTCGTCCAGAGCCTAGGTTTCTCGCGTCGCCCGTTTTTTATTGACTCGTGCCCATCATCTCCTCTTAACCTACCTACTTCCTCAGCCTCGCCCGTTCCTGGCGATCCCTCCTCTCTCCCATCCTCACCTTTTCCTCACTTGGCGTTTCGGTTGTTGCGCGTTCGCGTTGAGTGTTGTGTATTGGGTGTTGATCTTGGTCTCTCCCAGCCTCCTTCACCTGTCCACTCCCCTCCGTCGCCTGTCGCCTCCATAAAAAAAAAAGGGAGTTAATTAGCAGCTGCAGCAACCCCATACAAGCCTGGTACCAAAAGCAACCGCAACAACAACAAAAAACACAATACCGGCCCAACTGCCAACGCATCCAGCATCGGCCGCCCCCCAATCCCAATCTGCCCTTGCGCCGAAAGCTGCACCTCTGTTATTGGGTTCGTCCCGCCGGATACGCACGCCAGACGGGGACTGCACCAAGTCAGCCCAAGTCCAAGTCCAAGCCCAAGCCGAACGAATCGATAAATCGCACGTCGTCGACCGAGATTCTGCCCGCGCGCACCATGAGATAGTCGAGACTGTCGGGCTCATTAATCCAATTTTGAAACGTCGTCCCCCCCCGTGCTGGTCGCTTACAGCTGCTGCTCCCTGGAGCTTCTCGATTCGCCAACCGCGTCAATCCACCCCCGGCACTGCGCTCCCCCCCGAAAACTCGTGGTCTGAAACTGCCAGGTATCTCGACCTGCATATTCGCGTCGCCCGCCTGGATTTTTTCGAGCGCCACTACCAAAAACTCTCTACTCGCTTACGCCGTTGACACCGTCCTCACAACACCATCAACGGTTTTCTCCAACTCGACATTTTGACGCGTTTGGGCGTGGAAGATGTCGTCGGCTGCCCTGCAAACGGCCCCCCATCAACACACCGCTCTGGCCTCGTCTCCCTTGGCCACACCGTCCAGCCGCCAGTACAGGTCCTCGCACTCATCCCCTTCTGGCCAGGCGTACAATGCCCAGCAGACCGCGACCGCTTCTCCATCTTCGCGACGACCTCCTTCACGCAAAACGAGCGACAGTGCACCTTCACCTGCTTATCATCTAGGTCCCGGTTTTGGTTCTCCCGTCACCGCTCCCTCAGCGCCCAACGAACAGGAGCCGTCCGCCTCTGATCGGCACGGCAACATGCCTCCCGTTGCTCCTCCAAGGACTTCGTCCAACAACCAGAGCGGCGGTTCGCGAAGGACACAATACTCCAATGAGAAGATGACCAACTCCCCTCGACGAGGACAAAACGATGCATTTCGATCCGGTTCCCATGGTGATCACGGCGCTGCCGCAGAAAATGGACACCGAAGCAGCAAGGCTGACGCCGCTGCCCGAGCCGCCAGCAGAGATGGCAAGAACGCCACGACCGCGATTCCCATCCGATCCGCCCACAGTACGCCCTCGAGACCTGTCCACGAAGCCACTGACAACCTAACCAAAGCCATTGCAGCTGCCCAAGATCCAAATGGCAGGGATCGGAATCATGCCACAAACCAGGACGACGACGATGCTGCGCCGCCTCCTGTAGTCGCGACTGGCGACCACAACGAGGAACGACGAGGGCAACGGAGTCGTCACGATCACAGCCGAAGCAACAAGGGCACTACGAAATTTGGCGACTTTATCCTGGGAAACACCATCGGCGAGGGAGAGTTTGGCAAGGTCAAGCTAGGCTGGAAGCAAGACAGCAGCGTTCAGGTGAGTTCGCATTGTCACGCTTTGCTTTTTATTTTATTTTTTAATTGGCTGACGATTCGCCACAGGTTGCTATTAAGCTTATTAAAAGGGACAGTGTTGGCAGTAACCCGTCTCGATTCGCCAAGATCTACCGAGAAGTTGCCATTCTGCGTGGTGTCCAGCACCCTAATATCGTGCGCCTGATCGACAAGGTCGAGACAGAGAGACACATTGGTATCATTCTCGAGTATGCATCTGGAGGCGAGCTGTTCGACTACATCCTTAACCACCGATACCTGAAAGACAATGCGGCCCGCCGTTTGTTTGCCCAACTTGTCTCGGGTGTCGGCTACCTTCACAAGAAGGGAATTGTTCACCGAGATCTGAAACTGGAGAACCTGCTCCTGGATCGCAACCGCAACATCATTATTACCGACTTTGGCTTTGCCAATACTTTCGATGCGAATGAGGATCTCACCGAGGAGGAGGAGCTCAATCTCACCGACAGGGAATTCGTGAAACGAATGGGCCTGGACCGCGTCAAGCGCAACGGAACCAGGAAGGGTGATCTCATGCAGACAAGTTGCGGTAGCCCTTGCTACGCAGCTCCCGAGCTTGTTGTCAGCGACTCCCTCTACACCGGACGCAAGGTGGATGTCTGGAGTTGTGGTGTCATTCTGGTACGTCGAATACGAATAGTTGCTCATGATGGTTGGGGCTAACTTGACATTAGTACGCGATGCTCGCTGGCTACCTCCCCTTCGATGACGATCCCGCCAACCCTGAAGGCGACAACATTAACCTTCTCTACAAGTATATCGTGACTACTCCTCTGACGTTCCCCGAGTATGTCACCCCACACGCTCGAGATCTCCTTCGCCGTATCCTCGTTCCCAACCCCCGTAAGAGGGCGGACCTCTTCGAAGTGGCTCGACACAGCTGGCTCAGCGAATATGCGAACCTAGTGGAGTTCATCACCAGCTCGACGACATTACCTTCCGATGTTCCGAATTCTGGCTCCGGTGCACCGGACGATTATGCAGAGGCTCCGACTATCGCCAGAAGCTCGTCGGTCCGCGAGGCCGCCAAGCACAAGCAGTCTCATCCTCCCGTTGTTGGAGGACTGGCCAAGACCCACGGAAACATCGACCCCGAGTCCGAGTCTGGGCACCGCACGCCCAAGGATGCCAAGCGACGGACTGTTCAGGTCGAGTACGTGGCTCCCACCACGCAGACACAGCGTGGCGCCGATGCCGCGCCCGCCAAACCCAGCTCTCGATCTCTTACACAGGCGCCCGCCCCCGAGGTCTCTACTGAGAAGCCACTACCTCGAGAGCCTCCAGTGGCAAAGGAGATTGCGGCCCGGGCAACACAGTCCAGGCGGCCTCAGAGCGCTCACAAGAACGCTGCTGCCGCTCCCGCGAGACCGAGCCGCGACACTCGCGCCACCTCGGACAACGCGTTCATGACTGGAATTAGTGCCACAGCCAGGCCACAGACTGGTGGCTCTATGAAGTCCTCCGCTTCTATGGGTCTGCAATCTCGCACCACCTACGGACAACCGGTGCCCCCAACACTTGCCGACACCAATGCTCAGGGCCGAATCCATCAGCCTTCGAACCCAGAGGACGAGGAGAACGTGGCCAAGACAGTTGGAAGCGTTCCTCCCAAGGTTATGAAGATGTCGGCCTTCCAGAATGAGACGAAGCGTGAAGGAAGGGGCCACAAGCGGTCCAACACTCTTGGCGATCTTGGCAACAAGATTATGGGCCGCAGCGGATCTATCTTTGGAGGTCGTGGTAAGAAGCGATCGGAACAGCCCGCCGACAAGTCAAGAAAGTACCCTCCCGTCAGCTTGTCCAACACCAATATGCCTGGTGAGGAAGCTGGCCCCAGACCCTCGGTTGATTCAAGAGCATCTCGACGATCCTTTTCTCTTGGACTTGGCAAGAAGCGCAGTGGCAGCATCCACGGCTCCCAAGGTTCAGGTGAGAAGCCGGAGCGTCGGCGATTCTCTCTGGTGCCACCAGCTCTGTCTTCTAAACTGGGTCTTGGTGGTGGTAAGGACCATGGAAGCGTAACAGCCTCGGAGGCTGAGTCGCAACAGGACCTGCCTATCCAGAACCCCCGAAACGAGCAGATCCGTGGATACAGCGCCCATGACGAGCCTCGACACAGCGAGCCTTACTTTGACGCCCCTTACGAGCAGGTCCCCGCCCAAGACACTGCTCACTCGAGCCCCGTCTACCATCACCGCTACGGATCTACAACACAGGATGCCAGAAGGCCCAGCGCCATCCCACCCTACATGCAGGCCGGTGCTCATCTAAACACGGGGTCTGAGTCGTCAGTGGATATGCGCCGCCCACCGACGGAACCACGATCTCGACCTTACCAGGCCGACTTTTCGGAATCCGAAACCTTCGATGGACGCGCGGGTAGCAGCCGTGGAGAGCGTGGCGGGGTACTTCACAAGAACCACAAGCGATTCGCCGACGCCTACGAGGGGGCCGATTACCGAGGACACGAAGGGAGCAGCGGAGCCGCGAAGCGAGTCATGGACTTCTTCAGGAGGCGCGGAAAGGCTCGAGGTGGCGAAGAGCGGTGAACAAAGCATGCGATAAGCACCCGGAGTTTACGGCGTTTCGTCTCAGTTTGGGAATCTCTTGTGTGGAAGTTGGTCGCACCAATGTTCGCTGTTGGATGCTATAATTGTCATTGTCTACCTATTTGTTTTTGCCGGGACGCACACACGCACATCACCACACATACATATCAGTAATGAGGGACGAAACCGAGGGCTCTCGATGATGCCCGTTAGCAACTCAGAGGCCGCCCGGAGTTGGTCCTTTTCACGCACGCACTCACATCATGGCGCAAAGGGATTCGTACGAGATTGATTGAGATCAGGTGGTGGTCCCGGATGGTTACACTCTCCTACATACATTTCGGTACGGAAAGGCTGTTGGTCATGATTGGCAGATGAGAGCAGGACACGGGCTGGTTGACCTTGTGATACCTGGATCTCGGCCGAGAAAGAAGAAAGAAAGAAAGAGGAAGAAGGGGTTTGCTTTTTTTATTTGTCTGTCTCTATAAACGCATCTCAAGGTTGTCTTGCAGGCATTAGCGCTGGAGCGAAGTCAAGGGGGGATCGATCCAACTGTTTGATGGATCGACAAAGTGGTTTGCATTCACGAGGTGGAAGGTGTATTTGAAGACGCCGTGGTAAATGGAGTCGCCATATATCATACCTAGACATAGCTATAAGGACCAGAGAAGACGGATCTATGTAGAAATTAACTGTAGCGGAAAGCTTGAGTTGCCTGTGGTTTTGCAGACCGACTTTTTTGTATTTGCAATTATGGCTAGGTCTTTATATTAGCTTTGGGGAGTTTTTTGGTTCGGTTCTTGGTTTGGATGAATCGTTTGTTGGTTGTAGATAGTTCGTCTCGGGCTCATATGACTTAACAGGCTTCTAGTTAAAACGCCACTCACGATATCTTTGTAATGATTGCTTAGCTTGTTGTATGGTGAGATATATCTATGGTATCTGATTCTGGGGAATGTATTTCCCCTCTTAGTTTCTGCTCAACCTTGGGTCTCATGTCTTGGTCTTGACCTGACTGGAGGAGTGGTATATGAGGTGGAATTCTCTTGGTTGGGATCTTGCCTATCCCTCAACCTCTTGAAGCGCTCAACGACTCGCTCAACCATCAAGTGAACCTTGGATTTCTCAGCAACACTCCTGGCCATTTCATCACGGGGCTGGTTTGCTGCCCTCGCGTTCCTTTCTTCCTCTGCTCTGGCCTTGTTCGTGTATATGTGATCCACCAACGCTGCAACGTCATCATCACCACAACCGGCACCCGTCTTGGCTGATGTGATGAGAAACTCAGCACCGATGCTTGAACTCAGCTCTCTCCCCTCATCTAGCGACACCTCCCAATCTGGCAGATCCGTCTTGCTTACCGCCACAAAGATGACTGGCCCCTCTGGTGAAGGAGGCACCGGAATGTCTCTGCACAACGCTTGTACGTACTCAAAGCTGGAGCGATCCGCGACAGAATAGACACATATCAGAGCATCTGAGCGTGCAGCTAGTGCCTTGACCAAGGTGAGGGTATATGCACCGTCAGATTTGATGGGATCAAAGTTCAGTATCACTGGACCCTGCTGAGCCATCACCATCTTGCGGCCACTATCATCACCCGTTGGGTCATAGGGGACGTCGTCAACGTACTCCTGCAAGCATATCCGGTATACTAGCGCTCTCTGCCCGGCGTAGCGAGCGCCGACGAGGTGGATTTGAATTGTTTGGTAGCGGCCTGAGTGCTGGGGTACGGCTGGTTGGGATGCTGAGCTTTCCATGGTTTGAGGATGATGACTTTGGGTGTGACGAAGATAGATTTGATGAGTGATGAAAGATGAATTCATGGTTGATAGCGTGGCATGATCGAGCAGGGATATAGATCCTCGGTGTGTCAAATAAATAGATGGTTCAACCAACAACCATACTGGGGGCTGGTATCTAGGACACATCTTCAACTGCCAGTATAACTATTGTCAACAACGACAGTTGGTGCTTTGCAATGAATGGACTTAATCTTTTCTCTTGATGTCTTCCGTTACGACTCAAAGAGATACCGTAGTTGGTCAAGAGGCCACAGATCCCTCTCCAGATCACGGGCACTCATATCCTTCTCGTCCACCGGCTTCGAGAACTCGAGGATAAACTGAAGCATCCACCTGTCGAGCCGGAATGAGCTGTCCTTGCTGTTCAGGCAGGCGTTATGGAACGCCTTTAGTCTGCTAAAGGACGTGTAGACGATGGGCCAGTACGTGTATATGTCGGTCAGCATCTCAAAGTTGCGCTCAAGCCTGCGCTTGGCCAGCTGGATCTCGTTCTCGTCCATACCGAATAGCAAGGTATGAAGCTGAACCGTAGATGCGATGACGAGTATGTGGCCCGCGAGGGAGTAGTAGACGTCCGTCTCGGGGCGGGACTTGGCGTGTGAGATGAGGTCGCACAGATCCCCGGCGTGTCGCTTGCACCTCTCGGCGTATAGCTGCGTCGGAATGGCTGTGCTGCCCGTCTCATCCGATACCTGGCTGAGTTGGAGGAACTGGTAGAACAGGCGTTGCGAGGCGTTGTTATAGTTGATGTGAAGGCATATGAACTTGGGACCGAGCCCCTGGTTCGTCCAGTGCTGGAGATTATCTTGACTGTACCGTAATAGCATCGGTAAGTCAGAATACCATCGGTCCAGGGAAGCAGAGAGCTTGTGTATAGTGTTCCACATTGACTCTTGTTGGATCTCCTCGGCTACTACTGTCGCACAGTAGGAGTTGATCTCGTATAGGATCTGGTTGAGTTTGATCATATGAGCGAGTACTGGAAAGGAGTATTCTGCGGATTCAGACGATAGAGCAGCCAGGACCTGTTCATCGTCTGCGAGGTCATGTAGTTGAAGTCGAGCGAAGGTCAACTCTCCTATCGGTAAGGGAACATCTTGCCGTGGTTTTATCGCTCTGGGGAGACAAAAGGCCGCCGACAGCCAGGTATCGCTGGTAACAAGAGACCACCAGACTATCAATGACAGTTCAGTCGTGTTGACATAATACTCACATTCAGCAAAGCCCACGCACCTCTGTTGTTGACTTCGCGCTCAATGGCCGTCTTGACAGGAGCGTTTGGTAGGTCCATTACCATGGCCATTCGACAAGCAATGGCGTAGTATACAGATTCTGTGACGGCCTCTCCTTCAGCCACGCAGATGCACGCTAACAGCACGCATGCTTGAATGGTCGTTATTGAGGTGTCGTGCAAGTCGAGTAGCTTCTCAGCCTCCTTTGCATAGGGACGGCCTCGTTCCCAGGGGTTGGTATCCACAAACATGGGGTGTGACGAGAAACGAGCCGCAAGGCCAACAGCTCCTAGAAATAAGATTCTGGGGACTGACCCATCTCTAACAGAGGCTTTGAATGATGGCCAATGAAACAGACAGGGAAAAGCGATGTTTCCGTGACGAAAGTAGAGGTCGACCAGTTCCTCGGACAAGTCTGGGTCGTTCAAGATGGCAGGTGAAGCATATTCGATAGGATTGTCAGGTATTTCGGGGGTGTTCTCAAAGCTACATTCAAGGCCCCTCTTGACGCAGAGGCTACAGCGTATCGACTGAGGAGCCCGGTCACATTTCTTGCGGCGATCACTAGGAACGTCTCGTCAGGCTCTCATCCAACAGCTGTAAGTCCCAGAAACGTACCGGCAGGCTACGCAGGCGGACAGAGGTCTCATCGTTGTAGAGTATCAGATGCATGGATGGCGAGTGAGTGGAGAACTCGGGGTAATTCGAACAACGAGATGGAGATGGGGCCGAGCCCACGGCCGGGCCGCTCAGAGCGCCATGTTCGAATCCGGCCGGCTTATTCAATATTCGGCTCGGATTTGCGTTTAGTCCGTTCCCACCTGGTCGCGGTCACGATGGTTGATCTGATGCGACTTGGTCGGGCTACGTCACTTTGGTGATGAAGCAACGTTAGAATAGAGTCTTTAGAGCGTTTTGCCAAAACCCGAAACTTGTTGGTCCGATAATTAGCGACATTTCCTGTAACTGTGCCGTGAAGTCTGGATCCTCCTGGCCAAGTTGGTGGTCTCAACAGCCACAGGAATGCGACAATGATGGCTGGTAAAGGTCCCTGTCGATCCCTTGCCTCTGACGGACGAGACAAAGCAAGGCGGCTCTAGCACTGCGTAATCAACGCCATATTCCCGTCTCTATGTGACCAACAACGCCACGAGGAGCCGGCCATGCCAAGCCAAACTCGGCACGCAAGATCCGAATTGAACGGGGGATTCTGACCGATAAGCTTGTTGATGTAGCGCGTGGCCAGCTGCGTCGTCGTTGAGCGCCCCCAGTAGCCTGTTTGCTGGACCGCCGCATTGAACATGGGGCTTGAGAGCACAGGCCTTGTGCTTTGTTACGACTCTGTTGATTTCGGGGCTCTCAACAATAATCAAAGCGTGATGCTCACGTGGAAAGATGATAGAATGACTGCGCAAAGAGTCACTGGACGACTCGCCTCCAGAAGAGTCCAGATTCTTTGAGAGATGGAGTCTCGGGAATCGCCTGGGGCACACAGCCTCACTTGATCACTCCCCTGGAAGACTGGCCAATCAATCGCCAACTCCACTGTAATCATCCATGTTTTAGCGGGCTGCCTCAGCGCTGGTAGACGACATCATTGCGCCTCTGGGCCCGTTTCAGTGGGTGCTTCTCCACTGACGCCACCCCACCTCATTGCGGAAAGAGCGTCATCCCCGATCTGGGAAACTTGGAGCTGCTCGAGGAAGGTGAGACCCGCTCCATTCCCGATGCCGCCTTAAAGCCAAGGCCTTGGCCTCTTGGCCATTCACCTCTTCTTCACTTACAACCGTCTCTCGACCTTTTCTCAAGATCCCTAAGACACTCCCTATCAAGAAAGAAAGCAGATAGACAGACAGATCCTGTACTCTCGTGCACATTTCAAGATAAAAGCCTGTTCGATGAAGGAAGCCTCCTCTGAATCCCCCAATATAGATGGCAGTCGCTCTGGTGCACAACCCGCAGCGCATGGATTCTTGCCTCCTTCATCCACGGCTCCTGAAGGCGGAAACACTCTTGGCTTGAGCCAGCAGCCTCACCGCAACGACTTTGACGAAAAGACTCGATCGGATAACCTCCATGGCGTCCCTCGTGCAGACCAAGCTGCCGTCGACGGCCACTCCACGAACCAAGATGGCTCCTCCGAGCTCAAGATGCCCCCTGGGCACATCCCATCTCATACATCTTCTCAGGCTCCACGGTCGGGGTCTGTCGTAGAGCCGACACCCAAGGCCGGGGAGCCATCTGAAGAAAACACAAATACCGCCAAAAAGGGCACCCTTATCGACGAGATCCGCCGCAATGCCTGGCTGGCCGTCACTTACAGCTGGCTTAATGTCCTGCTCATCTTTGTACCCGTCGGCATTGCCGTCTCCCAGGTTGACGGCATCCATGGCGGTGTCGTCTTTGCCATGAATGCCATTGCTATCATCCCTCTCGCCGGACTACTTGCTTTTGCAACCGAGTCTGTGGCGCAGAAGATGGGAGATGCTCTTGGCGCACTGCTGAACGTCACGTTCGGTAATGCTGTTGAACTGATCATCTTGTGAGTCTACCATCCTCTTCATTTTTGATACAATGAATGCTAACTTTATCATAGTATGTACGTTAATATCCCAAATCTATGGCAAAGGCTACTAGAGCTCAAATGGGCTATGGTATAGCCACTCTTGCGTTGATCTGATGGCTAACATGTATTTCTTCTTTTCCACAGCATCGCTCTGGTCAAGGTACGATTTACTTGGCAGTTTCTTGAAGTTACCTGGATACTAACCAGTCTTAGAATGAGATTCGAATTGTCCAGGCTTCCCTCTTGGGTTCGATCTTGGCCAACCTACTGCTTATCCTTGGCATGGGTTTCTTCCTTGGTGGTCTACGCTACCGAGAGCAGGTTTGTCGCCTCATCTCTCGTTGATGCTCTTGTTACTAACCGTGTCATTTAGATTTACAACAGCACGGTCACACAGATGAGTGCTTGTTTGCTCAGTCTCAGTGTCATCAGCTTGGTTTTGCCCGTAAGTTGTGATATGGAGTACCTATACATAGTCGCAATGTGCTAACAATTCATCCAGACAGCTTTCCATGCGTCATTCAATGACCCAAAGCTTGCTGATGCCCAATCTCTCAAGATTAGTCGCGGAACGAGTGTGGTAAGTTCGACCGTTACTTCTCTGTGGATGACTCTCCTAACATGGCATTAGATCCTCCTTCTCGTCTATATCATCTACCTCCTGTTCCAACTCAAGTCTCACGCCTATATGTATGAGTCTACACCTCAGCACATTGTCGATGCTGAATCGACCCCTGGTCCTGCTGCTGGTTGGTTGGATTCGTCTAGCTCGGACGACAGCTCATCATCCAGCTCAGACTCTTCTGACTCTGACTCCTCCCACGGTACCGTCCGCAAGAGGATGAAGAAGGTTCTTCGTGGTGGACGCCGTCGAAGATCTAGCAACGCTTCCGCCGACACTGCCAACACCAGAGCCACTCACGCAGGTTCTTTCACCACTACCAACACTACCCCTGGTGAAGAGGTTTCTGAACCATCAGCTTCCAGGCACCGGATCCCCCGATTCCCTTCTTATGAAGGGAGTGAGCAAGCCGTCGACGAAGAAGAGGAGCCACGTCGTTCTCACAGGCGTCGTCGCCATCGCCGACATAGACACCGTAAGAACAAGAGGCACGATCACGACGCTGAAAAGGGTGGTGATGGAACGCAATCATGGAACAAGCAGCCCGAGGCTGGTGCGCAAAATCGCGGTGAGGGTGAACCTCGCCGTGTCGATTTCGCTGTTCAGAACGAGGCAGAACCCAGCTCATCAACTGGTGACCGAAGACCCTTCCCCCTTAGAGGAATCTCCGTCAAGAACCTGGCACCCACTGTCTTCACTGAGAAGCCAGAGCCAGGTGTTTTGCCTCCCGCCCCTTCTGGTCCTGTTCCCCGCGTTCGCTATGGTATCCGCCGTACCAACTCACTTCCTGACCGCCTGGGTCAGCAGTTCCGCCCTCCCGGTGCCATGCTGCCATCCCAGGTTCCGTTAATGGCCTTGAATGCCGCTGGCGCTCAGAAAGCTGATCGGGAGGATGATGAAGAGCATCTTTCCCAGATCGGCTCGGTTGTTCTTCTCCTCCTCTCTACGGCTCTGGTTGCGGTTTGTGCTGAGTTCCTGGTTGACTCTATTGAGGAGGTCGTGAGCACCTCATCGGTGGGAGAAATCTTCATCGGTCTCATCATCCTGCCCATTGTGGGCAACGCTGCGGAACACGTCACAGCCATCACAGTGGCTATGAAGAACAAGATGGATCTGGCTATTGGTGTGGCTGTTGGCAGCTCGATCCAAATCGCCATCTTCATCACCCCACTGGTTGTTATTCTCGGCTGGATCATGGACCGCGAAATGACATTGTACTTTACGCTGTTTGAGACTGTTTGTCTCTTTGTGTCGGCGTTTATTGTCAACTTCCTGGTCCTTGATGGCAGAAGCAACTACCTTGAGGGTGCCCTGCTCTGTGCGGTGTATATCATCATCAGTGTAGTGGCATTCTTTTATCCTGATGAGAACGAGGCTAGTGCTTGGGGCAGCTAAGCCAAGCTGCCAGCGGCTGCACTCTATCACAGGTGAGAGTGGTTGAGAAGCACAACGGACATATGGTAGCATATGACTGCTATGGATTTGGGAGGATGTTCAAGGGACACAAACATGGATTGTCCTTGTTAGATAGTTTGTCAGGCAATTTAAAGTGGCTATGAGGATTCCCTGTCCCCATGCCATGTACACCTCCCACTCGGATTTCAGTAACTGTGACATGGGCTAGATGTATCTACCATGTTAATGGAAAATTGCCTCATACGTAAGTTTGCCTAACACGCTATACGCAAGGCAGTTATTGGTAGCTCAGGCTCTTTGAGGATGCAATGCGCCGCTCGTTTGCGTTTGTCTCTTGGGGGCAGTGTTGTTTGTTCGTCAGCTGGTCACTAATAGCCCAGGTGCCCAGCCGCGAACCAGGCCTGAAGCGGCGTGGTGTTGGATTAAGATGAGTGTGGGAAAAGGTGGCTTAGCCACGACTTTAAAGTGTGTTGGCAATAAATAATTGGTAAATAAATGGTGTCTGTTCGTTTCTTTGTTCTAGGACTCAATTGCTGTTCCTGCTCTTGTTGGTGGTGCTCGTCATCAGTCGCTGCTGCTGTTTCTCAAAAGTGCAAGTGGTTGCATTACATGCAGTCGTGCGCCTGAAACCTTGTTTTAACCTCCTCAACAACCCAGCTCATACCATCATCTCATCTCTTTCATCATCAAGTCAAAACATCAAACAAAACATCACTCCAAATTAACTTGGCCATGTGCTTTGGGAGCAAGAACGAACGCGATAGCGACCCGGCGCCGCGTCCGGTGCAGCGACCTGCGTCGTCGCAGAGCCAGGGAGACGTCAAGAAGAGCAAATATAACCCACAGAACGACCCCAATCACCTGGGAGAGCCAAGTTACACGGCACCTCCAGGCCCACCACCAGACAAGAAGCACGCTGCGGACTTTGCACCTCCTCCAGGGCCACCACCTGGACAATCGTCATCGCAGCAATATGCTCCTCCACCAGGGCCACCTCCAAGTCAACAATATGCTCCTCCTCCTGGACCTCCGCCTGCCTTTGCCGCTCATCCCCAACACGACTGGGAGGTAGCTGTGCCTGATACCTCGCTTTTCCCTCCACCACCGGCCATCTTCAGCGGCTATGATAGATCCCCGACCAGCAATGCTACTGAGGAAGAAGCCATCGCTGGTGAAGACTGGTGCAGGGCCTATCCCATGACACAGCCCATCTACCTGGATCAGATTGGAAAGTCGGCTCTTCAGGCGGGCAACATCCGTCTAATGGAACCCATGGGCTTCAACGGAAAGCTCACCTGGGTCAGCCCCGGACATTGGGAAGGTCGGACCTCAAAGAACTCGCCCGACCGTTGCATCATTGGCTACCCGCCCCTCTACTCTGTCACCGAGCATGATCCCATCCGCCTTGGACAGCCCAAGACCATTTACTACGAGGTCCAAATCACGCGCGATAGTCCAGAGGTCTACGTTGGTCTCGGTTTCACGGCGCTGCCCTACCCTTCCTTCCGGATGCCGGGTTGGCATCGTGGCAGTCTGGCAGTTCACGGCGACGATGGGCACAAGTACGTCAACGATCGTTGGGGTGGCCGTGATTTCACTGAACCGATGCGCCGTGGTGAGACGTACGGTATTGGCATGACCTTCCGCCCCATCGGTGGGCAGAAGCCTCAGGTCGACATCTTCTTCACCCGGAACGGCACCCTAACGGGCGGGTGGGCGCTGCATGAGGAGACGGACGCTGAGCAGGATCTGCCTCTCACGGGCCTGGAAGGCTTCCATGACCTAAGCTGCGCCATCGGAACGTATGATGCCGTCAAGTTCAAGGCGGTCTTTGAACCGTCCGGGTGGATGTATAACCCTCATCAACTGTGAAGTCAATGATGGATTGATGATGGGCTGATGCCATTGATGACTTGTTGTTCACTTTTCCCAGCTTCTCTATGGGAAGAATACCTTTAATCATTAAGTAGACAGACCAAGACACGCGTCCCATTTCTTGATATTCTTGCGGTTTCCTGGTGCTTGGACATGATGCTTGAGCTGCAGCATGAAGCGTGATGTCTGTTGAATTGGTTTAATTCCACCTGTGTCTGTTACTCCATCGGACCTTTCTTTCACCATTATGTTCCAGCTAATAATTCTAAGATATCTGTTCTCAGAGTTATTCTTGGAAACCTGATGAGAGGGTGACAGAGGGTATGGTGGTGAGGAAATGCATATAGCGGGGCGACAAACCCCCCATACTTACAAGCCTAACGTTCAGTGCGCGCCAGGCGAGACCGATGGTGATGGTAACAAACACCCCAATTAAACTTTGGTCATTTCTTCAAACCACCATGGAGGTTGATAGCGATAATGGCCTGCTCGGCAAGGTCGCATCCGGCTGTTCAGTCGAAAAGTGAGCTCAAACTGGGCATGCGACTCTTGAATTTGGATGTCTGACCTTGGATGATAGGGAGGCTTGGCCCGCTTTGCGCAGCGACATTCTCTCAAGACTCGACTCGGTATAGCCTCAGAGCTGCAGTTGTCCACGGCCGTGTATGTACTGACCGACTTCTTTTCAGATCGCGCACAACGACTTTCCGATCCCAAACCTCCCTCCCCCGCCTCCAGCTCCCGAAACCGGTGAAGACAAGCTCGCGTCAACGCAGCCGTCATCACCACCCGGCGACTCATCCCAAGAAGCCAACAAGGAGAATGCGCCGACCGAGTCGCTCCCCGCCACGCAGCCTGTCGAAGGGACTCTCCCAAAGCAGCTCGCCGACATGCTTTTCGACATCACCAGCCACCTCGAGACCTTTGACACCTACCCGCCTCATACGATCCAGCGCCTAGCCGACCTGATCTTGCAGCCTCACGCGCACTACAAGGCGCTGGCGCCTTATCTACATGCCGTCGATCGCACCGTGCAGGTGACCTCGGGGACCAACATCTACCCTCTGCCCCCGCCCATTCCCGACATGTCATCGATGCACCTAAATGGCGAAGACGCAAACGATCCGGCCGTGTCGGTCGCGTGGAGCAATCCCACGACGGCAGCTTTGGGCACAGACGAGGCGCTGGGAGGAGCTCTTCTGACTCCAATCCCGTGGCTAACGAGGCGCAGCCCCGACAGTGGGCAAAACACGCCTGGTGCGCAGATTCACAGCGAAAGCACAGAAACCATCGATGGGCCTAATGGCGTGGGTAGTATCGAAACCGTCTCTGTCAGTGTAAATGGCATTCCATCAACGGGACATGCACGTGGCGTCACGCAGGGCGAGCTGTTGCGACAGGAGCAACGCGCAGGAGTGGTCCCTGTAAGCCAGTTGTCACGAGCCCAAGAGGCTGCCCACGAGGGAGGTCTCACGCTTGGAGAGGAGGAGGAGGAAGAGGAGGAGCAACTTCGGCAGCGCCAACAAGAACAGGAACAGCAGCTACAGCAAGCCCAAGAGGAAGAAGAGGAGACACCACATGCACGAGGACCAGAGGAGATTGGTGTCGACGACACAGGCCCTCAATCTTCAACAACAAGCTACGTGGGCGAAGGTGGTCTAGAAATGCAGGGCATTGACGTTGAGGCTGCTGTTGGGAGAAAACACGATGGAGACGAGCACAAGGCAGATGAGAGCATGGATGCTGATGGAGATGCCGAAGGCGAAAGTGAAGCCAAGAGTCCCAGCGCAGAGAGCGTTGGCACGAAACGTGAGGCTGAACAGGAGCTCGAAGGTGATGCACTAAAGAAGGTCAAGGAGAATGGGGTTGAAGGCGAACTCAAGGACAAGGATGCTACCGAGGCGAATGGGGATGACGAGAAGAAGACGTCAACAGACGAGGCAAAGAAGGATGATGACGGTGACAAGATGGATACGGAATAAGAGAAAAGGTTCACGACGGATGACATGATACCATATGGTCAAAGGAGGGTTTAATGTTGGAGTCTTGGGGGTTATGCAGAGATGCAGGGTATTTTGGTGTCTCTGGCAAGATAGACTCGGCCACTGAGACAATGGATTTCAGGGGGCTTCACATAAGGCGCAAGAGTTTTAAAAAATCAGTCTAGAGAGCCATCCTTTGGCTGACAGATGGAGGCTTGCATGAGTTAACGTCAATCAACGGCCATGGAACGTTGTCAAAAAGATGTGGATGGCCTCGATTGGGCGGGCGTATCGCCGAAAGAGGGCGTTGCCGTGGTGATAGACGCCATGGCCAGTGTTGACCCCAGCTGCCGCATGGACCCGCACCACTAAACAAGGGCCTTGGGGTGGTTTATAGACGATCCAGTCGGTATAACCCTCTTTGTATTTACATTTACTTACTAGACAAGGCTTGCGTTGCTGAAACAAACCCTCTGCAGGCATCCCCCTCCTCTGTGCCACTGACTTAAGGATCCAGGGTTTCTTTTTTTTCAATTTCAATTAACCTACTTGTCAAAGTCTAGTACAAGTCTAGATGAAGCGGGCACCGTCAAAGCTCCCGCAGCAACAACAACAATTACCACAACCACACTCGAGTCTTCACCGTACATCACCATCCACCCCGACTCACCATAAAAGATTGCCCACCGTGGCTCACCAACGCCCAACACGCTCCGACCGGGAGCATAGCCGGATCGCCATGGGCTCGAGCCTACGCGCCGGCGCCGGCAGTCGTGCCAGCGCGAGAGCACCGGGCGTGAGGGCCTCGTCGACCAGATACGGCTCATCCTCGATGGCGGCACGTGCTATCGAACGCAGCGGTGCCGTGTCGCCCTCCGAGTCGGTCACCTCGGTCAACACGGTCGGCACCAAGCGCAAGGAACGCGACTTTGATGCCGACACGGGGGTTGAGACAAACATCACCGTCGTCGTGCGATGCCGCGGCCGTAATGAGCGCGAGGTCCGCGAGAACAGCAACGTCGTCGTTGCTACTGATACCGTCAAGGGAAAGGTTGTCGAGCTGTTAATGGGTCCTAGTGCTTTGAGCAACCGCTCGTACAACTTTGACCGCGTCTTTTCCCAGGCCGCTGACCAGAACATGGTCTTTGACGATACGGTGAAGCCGATTCTTGACGAGGTGAGTTGCCCGCTGTGCTTGCAAGTCAATAACTAATGATTACAACTAGATGCTCTCCGGATACAACTGCACCATCTTTGCCTACGGACAGACTGGCACAGGAAAGACGTATACCATGTCGGGCGACATGACCGAAACTCTGGGCCTTCTCTCAGACGAGGCCGGTATCATTCCCCGTGTTCTTCAGACTCTATTCAACAAACTCGAGCTCGAGGACGCCGAGAGCACAATCAAGTGCTCCTTCATCGAGCTATACAACGAGGAGCTCCGCGACCTGCTCTCGTCCGACGAGAGCGCCAAGCTCAAGATCTACGACGATACCTCGCGGCGGGGTCACACCAGCACCGTGGTTCAGGGCATGGAGGAGAAGCACATCAAGACAGCTGCCGAGGGTGTCAAGGTGCTTCAGGAGGGTAGCTTGAGGCGTCAAGTCGCAGCCACAAAGTGCAACGACCTGAGTTCTCGAAGTCACACTGTCTTTACCATCACCACCTACGTGAGGAAGCCCAACGAGCACGGTGTCGACGCCCTCGTCAGCGCCGGAAAGCTGAACCTGGTCGATTTGGCTGGTAGCGAGAACATTCAGCGATCAGGAGCTGAGAACAAGCGCGCCGCTGAGGCTGGTCTTATCAACAAGTCTCTACTGACTCTCGGCCGAGTCATCAACGCCCTCGTCGACCGCGGTTCTCACATTCCTTACCGAGAGTCCAAGTTGACTCGCCTACTACAAGACTCTCTTGGAGGCAGGACCAAGACCTGTATCATCGCCACCATCTCCCCCGCAAAGAGCAACCTGGAGGAGACAATCTCAACGCTCGACTACGCCTTCCGGGCCAAGAACATCAAGAACAAGCCACAGCTTAACCCCATGATGGAGAAGAAGACGCTACTGAAGGACTTTACCATGGAGATTGAGAAGCTCAAGAGCGAGCTGATCGCTACCCGCCAGCGCAACGGTGTCTACCTCTCCAACGAGACATATGAGGAGATGACAGCTCAAAGCGAGTCGCGCCGCATTGTCAACGAGGAGCAGGCCGCCAAGCTTGAGACTTTGGAGAGCAACCTGCGGAACAAGGTCCAGGAACTCTTCAACCTCCAGTCGACGTTTATGGGTCTCAAGAAAGATCACGAGGGCACCAAGGCCCTGCTGGATGACACCAAGGAGGTACTGGACCAGACCGAGATTGTTCTTTCAGCTACGCGAAAGTCGCTGGCTGAAGAGACCAGGATCAGAAAGGCACATCAGAAGACAGAAGAGAAGCTCACACAAGTTGGCGGAGAGCTCATTAACAAGCTTCATAAGACGGTTCGCGACGTTGGTGGTCTTCACGCCAAGAACAAGCGCAAGTCGGATCTGCAGTCTCTCAACCGCAACACCTGGAGCACATCCCAGGACCAGGTCGTCGATGTCACCTCCATGGTTGAACGACGAATTGAGGAGTTCCACGACGAGCAGCAGGAGCACATTGCGAGCGTTGGAAAGCGAATGGAGGAGTTTGTCGGTGAAGAGCTACAAAAGCTCTCATCAACACAGACATTCCTTGATGAGCACTTCAGCACCTTTGCCGAGTCCAAGAAGCAGCTTCTGGATGGAAAGCAAAAGTCCAAGGAGGATATGGATGAGGTGCTGGAGGAGATCAAGGTGGTCCGCGATACCGTCAAGGACCGGATGGGTGAGAGCCTGCAGTCTATCTCTCACTCTGCTGAGAGGATAGCAGCGGATATGCTGAATGAGATGACGGCTTTCCACGGCCAGGTAAGTTTACTCTCTACGCAAAGGAAGTTATATACTAACTTAAACCAGCTACACAACTCGTACAGCGCGCTTGGAAAGGACTTCAAGTCCATCTTTGAAGACCTTGTTAAGCACATCACAGCCCAGCGAGCCGAGTGTGATAGTCTCCGACGACAGCTTCAGGCTGCGACAAACACCATCGTGCTGCAGAATGCCACCATTTCCACCCGTATCCAGGATGCGTTGGAGGAGGAACGAAGACAGGCCGTTGACGATCGTCAGAAGCTCATGACCCAGATCTCTGCCCTGATTAACACACAAGCCGAGACCCAGGAGGCCCGTCTTCACGATAAGGCTATCCTTATTCAGAAGAGCATGGCCGAGACCAACACAAATCTCGAGAACGCCGTCTCTCACTACGGCGAGGGCATGACCACCTGGGATGTCAAGGAGGGCGAGCTCTTGGACGAGGTCAAGAAGTCTCGCGATCAGCTCAAGACGAAGCTCAAGGATGACTGGACTGCGGCCAACGAGCACAGCAACTCGATCCAGGCCACAGCCAAGTCTGTTCATGCCGAGACGGTCCGCGTCGTGGACGAGCAGATTAAGGATCTTGACGTCCAGATGGAGGCTCTCGACGACTTTGTCACTCGCGCCAAGTCGGAGAATGGTCATCATCACGAAACTCACGGCCAGTCCGTCCAGGCTCTGTCCAACACTGTCGAGGAGTCGTTTGGCAACATCTCTGCTCACTTCAAGTCAACGTTTGACCGTGTCCAGAACCTCGGCGAGGAGATGGAGCTCGACCTTGGTGATCTTCAGGATGGTCTGGAGCCCCTGAAAGATCAACTCTGCCAGCCCCTTGCCAACCTGCGGGAAGACATTTCAGGCACAACTCTTCAAGAGTACCAACCTACGGGTGACACGCCTGCCAAGGTTCAATACCACTACCCAACTGACCTACCTCGCACTGAGCCTCACGATCTCATCATCTCTCGCATCGACGAGATGCCCACACCAACCAAGGACCGTGACAACGACAAGGACACAACCATTGTCTTTGCCGATCTCGACTCTCAAAAGATGATGACGTCTCCTCCCCGTCCTCCACCCCGTGCCTCCAACGCCAGCGCCCCCGACGGTAGCACCCTCGGCATGAGCCTCCGCGAGGTCAACCCAAACCTCACGACGGGCTCCATCAACTTTAACCCGCGGGTGAGCACCATGTCGATGCCTCCCGAGCGCACCATGCCGCTGTTTAAGCGCAGCACGCGAGTGACGCGGAGCGCCAAAAAGACCATCAACATTGACGCCATCGTCGTAGAGGGTGGTGAGAATGCTCTGCCCACGTCGTTTGAGCAGAGGAGAAAGAGCCCAAGGCTTAACTAGGGTGATGAACGCAAGAGTTTGAAATGAATGGCCTTTCGTCTATAGTTGCAATCCCGGTTTCTGGATCTGGAGTTTTGGGGTGTGTTTGTGTGTCTAGTTCTTGGAGCGGTTGAGGGTTTGAACGTTGTAGGGTTATTTGAGTACTTGATACCCTTTGACTTTTTGAGATGACCAAGTAATGATATTCACATTGTTATGTCAGTTTTTATATCGTGATCTTGGTAAAAGTGAACAATGGGTGGTGATATCATACGAACCACCCTGTAGTCTATCAAAGGGATATATCACCACCACCCTACAATCTATCAAGGCGATGCATCATTGTTTACACTCGTCTCACGGCTCCTGTCCCCGTAGAACCTCTTCCTCCTCCTCTGCGTCGTATCTTCTCCCCTCCAACCCCTACCCGGCACGATGGGCCTCAAGAAGCCATCAACATGCACACCACCAGCCACCTCCTCATCACTGTCCATCTCCTCCGTCTGACCCTGATGCACGAGCTCAATATGTCGTCGTAGATTAGCCTTGCGGGTGAAGCCTTGTGCAGCTCGATCACAAGAGGCGACGGGGCAAAAGACGAGTCCACCTGCTGATGCTGACCGGGAACGCGGTGACTTTGGCGGTGCGGGTGATCGTGTGGACCTTCGGCTGCCGAGTGAGTCTGGACTTCGGCTTGAGCGGGCGAGGGATGCTTGTCTGGAGGCAACGCGGCGCTGTACAAGGTCTGCGGCGCCGTCACTCTCATCATCTGCATCTTGGTCTTCGTCTGAGTATGAGAGCCGGATGGACTCCGGACGGTACTCGACACCGCTGATACCTGTCCCTTGAGAGACAGGCACCTCGTTAAGCGTCCTAATCACCATACCCTCCTCAAAGAGGTCAGCACAGCGACGTGCCGTTCTAGCAATGGTCTCGCTCGAGAAGCCGGCCAGTGCAGCTGCCCCAAGCACATCGCTCCAGTCTCGAAGACCCCATCTAGCCCGCTTACGATCCATATAAGTCCCAGAAGCCGAACTAGCAACATCACTATCCGGTCCTTCGGATGCCCCTCGCTTCAAAGACAGAGATCGCTCGCGTTCGATGGCTTCATCACCCTTACGCATCCACTCTTCAAACTCTGCGTCCTTATTCTTGGGTGTCGCCGGCTTCTTCCTGTGAGATTCGCGAGCAACGCGCAAGAGAAACTCTTCCTGCGTTTCTCCGTCACGAGGGACACGAATCTTTCTTGGACGGCCGCGTCTGCTTGGTGTAGCGGGCGTGGGAGGTGCAGAACCGTCCGTGTCGTGGGATGGCATTCGACGACCGCCGCGGGATAGCCTGTGCCCACTTTGGCTGTCGGATTCTTCTTCTGTTGAGGAATCGGACATGTAGCTCATCCCTGCTAGTCGCGAGTTGTGGAGGATGGATAGTGTGGCGTCGAGTTGCGATAGAATATGGCGAACGGATGGTCGTAGTAGTTGGTAGGATAGCTCGTCGTTGGTCGACTCTACCGGCTGGTACGTCTTGCGTCCCCCTCTACTAGCCATTTTGGTTCCCTCAGCATCGACAATCATCTTCTCGCCCTCATCTTCTGTTTCAGGCCTTATGGATGACTCTCTTGATGGGGGTACAGGTGTGTCGTTGCCGCTCTCTTCGATAGAAGGGCGAGGTGCCATGTTGCTCATCCTCTTGCGAAAGCGCCGCTTGGCAGTCCGTAGAATAGTTGCCGAAACCTCCTCTTCTAACTCGGTACTTGGCAGAATTTCTTCTTGTCTGCGAAATGTGAAGCGATCATCCTCGTCAGGTTGGCTGTTGATGAGCCGTTCCTTAGGGACCTGTTTATGCTTCAGAGGCCACGCAGTCCACATCTTTGGCGGTGCCCAAACAGCATCCTGACCGTCTGCCTATATCAAACTGTCAGTTCCGTTCTCTTGAAAAATCGGGTGTGGCTCACCGTCTTGATCATCAGGTCCTGGGCAGATTCCGCATCTCGACTTCTTCGCTTCAACGCAAAGGCATTGTAAAGATGCACAGAAAGATCCTGGTCCTGGAGCTGCTTCATCGACTGCCACAGCAGTCTATCCTCTTCTGTAAGGGTGCGCCATGTAGATTTTGGCCCTGTCCAACGATTTGGTCTGTTCTCGCGTAGGTCCTCAGAGGCGATGGATGCGATCTCGTCGCTGTCTAGCTCCCATGCTGTAGCGCTAGCTTCCATTGTGATAAACTCGAGGGGACGAAATGGTGATAATTAAGATGATGAATAGTACTGAATGATATTTTGGCCTCTCGCATGGTTGAGCCTATTACTCATCTCTCAGATGAAAAGTGTTGGTGTGGTTGTTGTCAGGTTCAAGTTTTACAAGGCAACTTTCATGGTAGAAAAATTATAACAAGGTTCCTTTATCCACCCAGCATAAATCACACTTCACCAATAACCAACTTCACAATAGCTTCTAAAACAAGTCTCTTCTTTTCTTCGCATGCAAATTGAATCTATCCGAATGGTATAAAACATTGAAGCCTTTTTACATTACGTACGCCTTACTTCGCCTTGCCCTTTGCCTTTTCCTTTTCCAGCTTTCTCCTCTTGGCCCGCAGCTTCTGGTCTTCGGCGCTCTTCTTGGTATTCGTGTACACCATCTGCTCGTACAGCTTCCGCTTCTTCTTGCTGAGCATGCCCTTGGCCCGCTCAATGTCCTCGGCCTCCTCGCGCGCTTTCTTGTTCAGCGCCTTGCGAGCCTCCTCCTTGGCCTTGGCCTTGTTGTTGGGCGTCTTGGACTTGACGGCACCGCCAGTGAGCTCAGCCTCTAGCTCTTGTTGTCGCTGCTCGGCATCGTCCTCATCTTCATCCTCCTCTTGCTCGTCTTCGGAGAAGCCGCCAAATTCATCGTCTTCTGCGTCTTCGCCATCCTCCTCTTCGTCTGAGTTGGCCACGTCCATACCCTCGACGGTATCGTCAACCTCACCCTCACCGTCACTCTGAGCCTCGATGGCTTCCTCCTCAGGCTCCTGCTCCTCCAGAGGGATGGTGGGGTCGTATGCGCCCTGGACGCTCTTCACGAAGGGGCTCAGATGGGGAGGCAGAGAAGCGCCAGGAGCATACAGATGAGGCTCCTTCAGCTCGCCGTCATTGACACTGTCCCACACCCATTGGGGCTGGATGTAGGTTCTTCCAGGGACTCGCCGGTTGGCAGCAAGCTTCTGTGAAGTCTGGTTATCCTCATCGTCGCCATCCTCCTCAGTAACGGCCTGGATGGGAGGTCGGTCCACAATCTGGTGGGTAATGGCGGGATCAAGCTCATCAGTAGTGAAAGCACCACCACCGAGCACAGCATCCCAACCAACACGCTTGCAGCCAAACGACTTGAGCAGGAACTCGAGAGGTTGTCGGGGAGTTTCTCGGGAGAGATAGATGGTCAGGTTGGAGAAGAGGTTGTTGGGGTTGTTTCCAGTGTTGGAAGGCTGGGGAAGCACATCGCCACCAGGGGCCGCTGGCTCAAACTTGTCAATCACACCCGCATCCTGGTCCTCACCCTCCACCTGGTTCTCGGTCGCTGATGTCGAATCGTCATCGGCTTCTGTGCCCTTGATCTTCTTGATAACCTTGTTAACGGCAGCCTGGACCTTGGGGTCGGGCTTGTGTTCGGCAGCCTCCAATTGCTTCTGCTGGTGCTCCTCGGCGCCGACCAGGGCCTTGCCCTCAAGAGTGAAGGCGCCAAGCTCGGCGGCGTTCTCGTCCATGACCTGGTCGAACTTGGGAGGGTACTTGAGGCCAAGGGAGGTGTAGAGTCGGAAGTTGATGAAGCCAAGCAGGGTCATGTAGAATTCGATAAAGGTGCCCATGATGCGGAAATCGACATCGCCGACGACGCGCTGGTTAAACTTGTAGGGAACCAGCCAGAGGACATCCTCGCCCTGGATATTGGCCTGGTAGTAGATTCCCTTGATGGACAGGAACGACTTGGTAACGCTCTGCGACACGATCAGGTAGTGTTGGAACTCGAGGCAGAGACGCTCGCAACGGGCAACCATCTTGGCGGGAACCGACGAGGTGGACGGCAAGTTGGCGAACAGGAACAGCATCGACAGGCAGTCGTCGAGGTCTCGCAGGGCGTCCACAAAGGTCGGGTAGCGCTCCCGGATGACATGGTCAAGCGTGTATCGAGGCTTTCCAGTCTTCTCAGGTCGCGCAGCGTTCTTCTCGAGACGGGAGGCATCGGTGACATCGCCGCGGCCGAGAGCGCGGGAGATCTTCTTCTCGAGAACCTTTTGGTCGCGGAACTTTTGCAGAAGCGGCTCATGGAGGAGGTACTGAATATCCTTGGCGTAGTAGAAAGTGGTCGAGCTGGTCGACGACTTGGACACCTTCTTCCTGCTCCGGGGCTCGCGAGGATAGATTCCCTTCCAGATGCACAGCTTTCGGAAGTCGGGCAGGCTGATTTGCAGCTTTCGAATCGCCTGGTTTCGGGTGACGTAGTTCTTGGCCGCGCCGGCCTTGCCCTTCTTCTTTATCCGAGCCATTGTGGTTGTTGGTGATGGCTCTTTTTGCTGGATGGTTGTATCTCGCAGCAGCAGTAGAAGCAGCGGGGCACTTTTTCCTGCTGTGTCCGTCTCTCAACTTTTTTTTTCCATCGCGAAATTTTATGCCTAGAAGCACCGCCTTGGGCGCAAATGGATTAGGTCTAGCGTGGTAATTGCGATCCCCAATTGGCCAGTCTGCTTCTCACCGCCCGGGGCCATGCTCCAGCGCATTCAGGGCCTTGCAGCGTCCATTCAGCGCTCAGCCAAGCAAAGCTCCAGCGGCTCTTCCAGCGGCCCCTCTCCCGCCGGTGGAGGTGGCCCGCCAAGCCTCAACCCGCCAAGTGGCCTCCAACGACACCCGCCTCGATCGCGATACCACACCTCGACGCGATCCCCCCTCCACGACCAGCTCCTCTTCGAGCAATGCAATGCCTGGCATCATGACATTGCGAGGCAAAGCCAGCGTCTACGCCGGCGCTGCTCTGCTCCGGCTCGCCCTCTTCCTCGCCTTTCCCGGCCTCCCCGACCTCCTAACCAGCCGTGTCGAGATCTCGACCCCCGTCACAAGCTTCAAGCGATGTAAGCCCCTCGCTTTCCCGGCGCACTCTAGTCCATGCGCTCACGCGGGTTTTTCCAGTGCAAGAGGGTCTGTTCCTGTACACGAATAACGTTTCTCCTTACGATGGCGGCGTCTTCCATCAGGCGCCGCTGCTACTGCCCTTGTTCTCACTGCTCCCAGACGTCAAGGTCTGGCCCATCTTTACACACCTGCTCTACATCGCCGTAGACCTCCTCAGCGCCGATGCCTTGTACAAGATTGCCAATTCGGGCGAGGCGGCTAGCTCGAAGCTGTTTACATCGCCGCGCCGGGCAAACAAGTTTGTTGGCGCCGCCGTTGCTGCTGCGTAAGGGAGATGTTCTTAGCTGTACTCAACACCAAGACTAACAATGCGACAGCTTCTTGTTCAACCCCTACACCATCGCCACATGTATAGGACGATCAACCGGTGTCTTTACCAACTGCGCCATCCTATATGCCATCGCCAGGGCAATCAAGGGTTCTCCCTTCAACGCCATGATTGCCCTGTCGTTCGCCTCTTACCTATCCATGTACCCCATCCTCCTTCTCCCTCCTCTGATTCTCCTCGCCTTTGATCGCCAGCCCGAGAAGCGCCGAGTTGCATCACTCGCCAGGTTTGCGGCTACCAATGTTCTCATCGTGGTGGGCTGCGTCATCTCACTGCTGGGCATGTCCTTTGTCTTGGCTGGCAACTCATGGGACTTCCTCGCCCGCACATATGGCATCCAATTGACGCTGTCGGACCTCACGCCCAACGTTGGTTTGTGGTGGTACTTCTTCATCGAGATGTTTGACTCGTTCCGAGCCTTCTTCCTCGGCGTCTTCTGGCTTCACCTCGCCTCCTACCCCGCCGCTCTCTCAATCCGTCTACGCCCTCAGCCGTTGGCCGTCTTGGCCATCCTGCTGGGCACATTCTCCATCTTCAAGCCATATCCATCGCTTGCGGACGCGAGTCTTTTCCTATCTGTGGTTCCTTTGTTCCGACACGTCTTCCCCCTGATGCGGTATGCCTTTCTCACGACATCAACGCTCCTCTATGCGACGTTCCTCGGACCGGCTTTCTACCACCTCTGGATCTATTATGGAAGCGGCAACGCAAACTTCTTCTACGCCATCACGCTTGTGTGGAGTTTGGGACAGAGTCTGCTGGTGACCGACCTGACTTTTGCCGTGTTGAGAGATGAGTGGGAGATTGACCGCCCTGAGATGGCAGGCAAGGAGATTCGGCAGATATAGGCCGATATATCAAGAGGCGGAACACTGGTGATGGGTATCTGGTGTAGAATTAAACTCAACTCGAGGGCACAATGTCTTTCGCAGTTAAAACATCTGGACTTCAACAAGCAAGGTCGTCTTGGATCGTTTTGTGTACCACTAAGGCCACTGGAGGCTGTCTATACAGGATAGAGATACAGTAATATTACACTTATATCATATCATAAGATGCCCAGCTTAGTCCACCTCTGTGTCCGTCTCAACGAACCGGGCCTGGTTTGACTGATAAGCCGGGGCAGACCGTGGTGCTTGATAGCTTCCGAAGGCGGAATCCAGCATGGAACCAACTGCACCTAATCGACCCAGCTTGGAGCGATTCCGCTCCGACTGCCACACCTGTATCCTGGAACCAAAAGGCTGCATCGCTCTGTACATGTGGTAGCCATATCCGAGAGCCGCACTTGTTGCAATGAGGCTCATGGCCAACATCAAGGTCATCCCGTCTACACCTTTGATGCTCTCCTCAGCTCTTCTCCTTACTTCAGTAGCATAGTGGTCGCCGAGGCCTGGGACGTTGTACATGATACTGTCGAGAGTGCGAGCGCCAACACGAAGAGCTGTATCATGGCCAGATTCAACCCATGGAAGAGGGCCCTGCTCCCCCAGACCTCTTGACTTGATGTCGTCCACAAACTTGGACAACCTAGGTGTCTTCTGCTCAAGCCAATCCTTCAGGAAAGACCGCGGCACTGGAGCGTCTCGCATCAATGCAAGGTAGCCAAATGCTAAGCAGTCCAGAGATGAAGGGCTAGCACTCTCAAAGAAGCCAAAGGCCTTCTCAGAATCTCCTTTCAGGTAGTCGTCAAGCACTGAGAGGCAGTCTTCAGCCAGTCCGTATAGCCGAATCAGCACCGCTTGCTCAGGGGTCATCTCCTCGTGAATCGTCTTCTTAGTACGCGCAGGGATGTGCCTTCGAAACGCTTCAGGGAGAGCATCCCGGCCTGAAGATAGGTGCAGGCCACCATTGGGATCAAAATCAGTGTCCATGTCTGCGAAGCCGAGATGTTCAACACGTTTCACGGCTTCTGCCCGGATCAGCGGTGGAACGGTCCATGTCAACGGGAATGGTAGGAGAGAGCTAAACGCAGGACGAGTAGTAGCAGCCCAGTTTGCAGCAGAGACGTAGAGCGAGAGGTCCAGCAAGGGGGCAGCGTGGGCGGTCAAGAATGCACCGTACGCGATGCGATCCGCCTGCTGAATAGGCGTCAAGCCAGCGTCCAGGTTGTCGCCGAGGGACTTTGAAGCCAGGTAGTCGACGATGGGCGCATAGCCGCTCATCCAGACGCCCTCATGGTGGAGTGCGGGGAGAGTATCTGGGGTTCAAACGGTTAACAGACAAGGTTCAAACCCGAGCAGGGATGATGGGGGTGAAGGAAAAATCGTGAATCATACTAGATGGGCTGATGGACGGGTCGTTGCTGGGGATCAGGCGCCAGGCTGAGGCGGGGAGGCTGATGTGAAGGTATGTGATTATGGCGAGGCACTCCGGATCAATGGACGGCAGGTCAAACGCCGAGCCCCAGACGTGGAGGTCCAACATGACTTGACGACGGGACGGGATGATGAGGCTATCGCAAAGACGTCATACGCTTAGACAGTGAGCGATTAGGCAAGACGCGCGGTAAGCTTTCTGATGCAGGCGCTCGGGCATGCAGGAAACGGCTCAAGATAATCCTGCAGCGTATCGCCGAGACGGATGTCCGGTGTAAGTAATGGTCAGTCGAGATCCTTGAAGCTTCAAGACGCCAGCCTTGTCGCCCTCCAGCGGCAGCCCAAGACCCGCCCCCATGTCAAAGCCCGGGCGTAAGCCACAGCGCGTAACCACGTGACCTGTCATGGAGCCACTGTGACTGACAGCCAGCCTGAGCCTCTCGTAACTAGGCGTCGTTGCAAGCATCATCAACCAGCTCATGATGATCTAGAGAAAGCATCTCATTGTCACGATCTTGTTTGAGGAGGGAACCAACACACTGTTCGTCCGTACCCCCTGTGGCAACATGGCGCCCCTGAAAGAGCATCGCATACGGCATGCTTCCTGATGCTACACCACCACGCGTTCCTCGAACGTCGTGATCTACATACCAGCCCATCACAATCCCCGTCCGTCCATCGCCCTACATGGCTGAGCGGTGCATACTCAGGACTGCCAGAGCTTGAAACAGAAAAGGAGTTGGTCCGGGGAATGAGGGGTCAGAGTCTGAAAGAAGCTATCTCGCCCGCCTTGGTGTGAGACGCAAAGGTGTGCAACACAGCCCACCTTAAACAAGGCAGCCCGATATATGTAGTCGATTCTATAGCGCTATCAGACGTGTAAGCAAGCAGACACGCACACACACACGCACTGCCCACTTTACGAGATGGTTTCTTTACCCCTTGAGCGGGCGTCGATGCTGACCTCGGCCTTGTGAGACATGTCAGGGACACAGGAGATCAAGGTTGGACACGTTTTTCGCCACACAATAATTGAACGTTTGCCCAATACTGCCAAGATTCGCGGCCTTGCAGCTCTCGAAGCCGTGACCGCCTGTTTCATCATTCCATGATTAACCTTCTTTGACTGTCCTCGACGTGGGACGACAGGACGAGACACGCGCTATCCAACCCCACAGCCTTGTTTGGGCTGCTGGCGTCCCAAGGATCGGTTGGTGCCAGGAAATCCTGTCGCTCACCACTCACACTTGGCGTCTAGTCCGTCTTCCCCTGAGTTTGGGACCAATGAACTGTATCGGCCGGCCTCCCTCCGTCCAAGTGTGGGAGCAAAGCTCCCGTTGGCCTCGACGCCGGCTCAGAGCCGGGCATAAGGAAACGAAACGCTATTTACCAAACCACTCGGAAACCGATATCCTTTAGATCTTCAATCTAGAGGACGGGGCTTGAACGACTAAAGGTTAGCAAAAAAGAAAAAAAATGATGATTGTCAAATGACGAAAGACAAAATCGCTGCCATCGTGCGCTGATGATGGATGTGCCTTGCCATTCCCGGCCCCCGGATTACGGGCTCCTCTCTGAAAATAGGAGACGAGCCGGGCTGCAAGCCACGGCAGGAACGGGAGAATCAAGAGGCAGCACAAGGACACACACATGCGCGCGCAAATAGGTGCACACACAATACAGGTCTCGTCAGGTCCAGGGGAGCCCTGCAGGTTTCAGTCCTTGGGAGAGCGTCAGCTGGGTCGGGATCGACGGTGCAAGAGAGAGGCGTGGCACCAAGAGTCAAAGAGATGCTGCAAGCGAGCAGGCACACCTTGACACCTCTTGGCTACTACGGCCTTGAATGATGAATGATGATGATGCTTGCGCTGGGCTGGGCTGGGCAGGCTGGGGTGCGAGCGAGGGGATACGATGCAAGGGAGAAGAAGCAGGACAGGACAGGGATGTAGGAGATCACGAGGCTCGATCGGGACAGGGATGATGGTAATTTGGGCAACAGCCATGGACAATCCGCAATCCGGGGGTTGAGTCCGTCCGCTATTTCGGGCACTGAGGCTAGCAAGGCATAGGAAAGACTCGGAAGCGGTGGGCGTCAGGTCAAGGGCATTGTTCTCAGTTGGATCGAAATGGTTTGAGCAATTTCATGTTTGATTCAGTTCGCGTAATAACTCTGGTATCTCGTTCCGTTTCCGTCAACACTGAGTGATCAGTGGACCTTGATCCCATTTGCTCCTTAGAAAAAGAGGCGAGTAAAAATAACCCATCCTTAAAAAACAATATCTATGTTCCCAACCGGCGTATTCATCATGATAATAGTGTCAAAAATGACCACTCTCGTTCCCCATCGTGACACGCCCAACGCAGCAAGACCCTTTGCGATGTGTAGTGTGAGACGCCGCCCATGGTAATGCCTGTCTAATGATACAATTCCAAAAACCATTTCGGAACAAAATAATCCTCCCAAATAGTTTGATCAAACGAAGTAGAGAAGAGCAAAAAGAGGTAAGAGTGTAAAAAAGGTGATTAGATAATATCGTAGGAGGGGTATTGAACGGTGATGCGCTGTAAAAGAGAGGCGCACGCAAGAGAAGTGAAAGATGAAGGAGTCCGGTCGGTCCAGCCAAAAGGGACGAATGAAGAGTGTGGCTGTCGAGGCCGGGCCATGTGTGGCCAGGTCGTCAAGTTGAACGCCTGGGTTGGGTGAATGCGGCCCAGGCAGGGCTGGAGTTGTGATGGTGGTTGTTGTTGAAATGCGGTAGAAGCAGGGTGTTTGATTCGACGGCCGAATCCGTAATGTTGCAGTTGCTGTTGCAGGCAGGTGACTTTTGCGTGTTTGGCCAGCTCACAGGGAACCCAGAATTGGCGGTGGTGATTAATTAGGTGCATGCGGGAGAGACGGGCGGGTTGGGGTTGTGTTGGAGTTGCGTTGCGGGACTCGCATGTGCATATGCGCACGCGCGCCATCGCGAACAAGGCCTTGGAAGACCCGAAGAGTGAACCTTGTTCATTGTCTGTGTAACCGAGGATGAGAGGAGCCCGGTGGTGAGGGTGCCATGGAAGCCTTGGGATTCCCAGAGATGTTGAGCCGAGAAGAGGATTGTTGATTGCATTGTAGGGCCGTCGATGATGTTGTCGATCCGTTTAGCCTCGCTTGGGCAGAGGAGGAAGAGGGCGGCTGGGAGGTGGGCCGGGGCAAGGAGGAAGTTGCGAAGGTCGCTGAGCAGGCATGTTGATTGTGGTTTGTTGGTGTTTGCTTAAGAAGCTTTCAAGTAGGTTGAGTGAACTGAGGACGGTTGGCTCAGTTCTTGGTGTTGTTTGTTGGTGAGTGCAAGAGTTGAAGTGACTCGAGGTTGTATGTGTTGCAAGTGAAGAAGCTGAAGGCGAGTGCGAGTGCCTAAATAGGATGATTTGCTTGCTTGGATATCGAGTCGATGATGAGAATGATTAACAACTTTTTTTCTCGTGGGGAAGAGGGAGGTCGCTGCCCTTTTTGTATTCCTGGCCGGCCGGTCTGGTGTTTGTGCCTCCAG